CTCCTGCTAGAACACAGGGGAGGAAGCTCTAGATTTTTGGAGAAAACACAAACTGGACACTCTATGAGCATTCTGTAGTTTGCTCTGTTCCTTGGCCACTTTTTGCATAAAGATTTCATACATCTGACAAAGTAAGATAATTAAATTGGCTATAACTTACTTTGTTGACCTCCAGGAAACCATATACTTTGCACCCCTCATTTTTCTGTTCCTGCATTTTCTGGCTAAACCCTTCTCTCTTGCATTGTTCTATGGTGTCTGGGTTCTTGAAAGCCCAGCCTCGCCTCCTATAGGCTTCTCTCACATCATCACATGTATTACAGCACCTGCAATAAACACACACATGCCATTCAACAAGAACACCCATGAGATGGCCGCAGCAGTACAAGCCTGAAAATGGTCACTATTAGTAGGAAAAACTAGTGTTCTATACAAAAACTAATATTCCCACTGGAAATGAGACTCACCTGTGGCAGCATTAACAACTATCTTCTGCATACCTTCTAGAGCCCCATGCAACTCTCAGCTTGAAGAAGGCTGCAGGCTGTAAGGAAGGGATGTAGGTCCCATGACAATCCTCCAGAAGTAACGTGACTCTACTTTTAAAGTTAACAGAAAGAATCTGCACTGCCCAGACCTTGGCCAGGATCCTGTTAGTCTGGACTTTTATGCAGATTACACGCAGACCTCCTTACCCTAGAATAACCTGACTATTCCTGAGGAAGAGGAAAGGCAACACCCGCACAAGTGGGAGATCATGGATTACAGCAGACCTGGGCAAAGTGTGGTCCGAGGGACACATACGGCCCACGAGCCACTCCTGTCCAGCCCGTGGACAGTTTTGAACATCAAAACCATTTATAACTTTTTGTCTAAACTTGATCAGTTGCTTATCTTTAACATACCACAAAAAACCTCTTTAGTATTTGTGAAGACTAACAAGTTTAAAATAAAAACCAATCATAACATCACTGTTTCATTTTGTTTTTAAATAAAGTTGGTTCAGCCCCCGAACACAGTCCAGATTCTTCATGTGGCCCCCCTATAGAAATTAATTGTCTACCCTTGCAGTACAGTATTCCTGGAGTTTTACATTCTCTCAATGCCCAACAGGATTCTATCCAACACATGTAAAGGCCCAGTGGTCTCCTTGCCCTTGTATCATATCACAGGGCAGCCTTGACCAAGGATATCTAGTCCACAATCACCTTTAAAAAAACACCCAGGGGACTGGCCAAACAACAGATTAAATCTTTCAGGGGGGGGAAAGGCAGGTAGCATAGGGCACTCGACAATCTAGACTTTCCCAAATTATCCACAAAGAAGGCCACAGTGTTTTCTACAGCTCTAGATTTGCTGCTGAAACAGTGCAGCCTGTATTTCTAGGGCAAGCCACGCTCTCTCCTGGTCAGAAGATAGGACAAAGGCATTTCCTACTCCAGAATACTTCATATGCTAACTTACAGCTGCAATGACTTCAGCATAAAATCTTTAAAGACTCTATGCGAACAAAAATGAAACTACTGGATGATTTAGAGTTGCTGTTGCAATTAACAAGATTTAACACTGCAGTAACTGGAAAAAAACAAACACATATCTGAACTTATTTTACTCAAATTTATACTTGAAAAAACCTGTCTGCAATTATGACTTTACTGATGGAAAGAATTTACAGTGAACAATCCATGCAATTCAATACTATGCAAAATTGGGTATGCTTAATGCCATTGCTTTTAAATAGCCAGTGCATTCAGTGTAATCATATGAAGGAAACAGGTTTAATGAAATTCAAGCACTGTCCATTTGTCTGCTCCTTCCATTAATTATAAAGATCCCACAGACATCTCCAGTTCCTTTAAGTCAGCAGAACAGTGGAGAACACCTCTTGACCACCAAGTGAAGCTGAACTCATTTCTCTATCCTACCCATTTGTTTGTCTCCAAGCCATACTGAAAGAAGAAAGACATACTTGATGTCCTCAGACTCTGCTCCATAGCAGCTCTCACAGCGATTAGGATCTAAAGAGTTGGGATCAAATATTGTTTCTTCTTCTTTTCCCAACTCTGAAATACAGACAGACAGAAGACATGTATCAGCAAAGCACTGAGTAAGCATGGACCCATCAATATAAAGCATTCCTAAACACTGTTAACACTAGTGAGCAAATGTCTGGCTCTGGTACTGGCAGTAACTCTGTTACTGAAGCTACCTGAACATCAGATGCCATAGAACAAAAAGAAAATAGTATTAGCATCTTGTCTGCAGTACTGCTCCCACAGTGGAACAGTGAATCTATTCTACCATGTCTCTCTGCTTCTGGTGTCACATGCTTGCCATCTTTATCCAAGCGTTGCTTGAAAAGATTGTGCTCCACATCTAGCTGTTGCTCTCCAGCCACATCCATTGCATCAATGCTCAGATCTGAAAAATAAGAAACACGGAGAAATGAAGGCAGGTTTCGTGAGATCTGAAAACTGTTATTTAACAATGTAACTACATATTGTAATACCCTAATCTGGCTATCAAAGAACATGAGGAGCCAAATAAAATACAGAAACATTCTGGCAAAATTGTTCTAAGGAACACTTCTAAGTACTCACTGTAAACCTCTAAAACCAGATTTAGAAGGCATAAAAGGAAATAGAAGGATATGCCTGCACAAGGAAGTGATTAAGAGAACTGCCTAGCTAAATGATCTCACATAACAATCTGGAAACCATCTACCTGAGAACTAACAACATTTCTATAATTAATCTAGTCCCTATAAAGTAACTTTGTACATTTATATGCAAGAGTAGGCAACATTCTGAAGTCCAGTGGTTCCACTCCACTCCAACTCAAGAGGACACTCCACCCAAAAAATATTTTAATTTGAACAAAATACTTTTTTTTACTGAAAAAGGCCTCATGTTCCCTAGGGAAAAAGTTATTAAATAAAAAGTAACATTTTTAAATTGGGGTGGTGTAGGGCAGAGGTGCTGCCCCCCCAAGTATGGCAGAATAACCCCCATGGGGCAAAAAGTCACAAGCAGACTTTTAAAGCAATTTTTAAAAATTATCTGGGGTGTGCATGTGGATAGAATACTTATGTACATATAAACCATAGATGCTGGCAAATCTTTTATTTAAGTCTGCAGGCTGCTGAAAACGAATGGCATTCACCACAGTAAGCTGGATGCTGCACCATGAGATCAGACTCTCAGAGTAAGAAATTTCTCCAATTTATTTATGCTTAGGAAACAAACTGTTTAAAAATTACATTGAATGCCTCTCTATCTTCATGCAGATATATCTAAAAGAATTGCTCCCAGCAAGCATGAGGAAATTCTAAAGAGCCAGATGCAATTAAGCTATTTAATATAACTAAAACCTCAGGTTTTACAGTATTTACTCACAAGCACAGGGCATATGTGGAAATATAACATCTATGTTTATCCGTAGCTTGTCTCCCCGTGATTTGTCAACATATAATTCTGGATGAACCTAAAAACAAAGTATAATTAGAAAAGGTCATCTGATTATGAAATTCAGCAGGAATTGTTTTACTGTCTTGTTTCCCAACGTTTCTAGGTACATTTAATTCTGATCAGGGGCTGTCATAAATGACTACTGTCAAAACTGGTTTCTTGACAACATTTCTAAATTTTACTGATTACCTAATAGAATTTTAATTGAAGAGCACTTATATGCTCAGGACCCCAGTGAGTGAGCTACACCTCAGGTTTCTGTTTAGATCATAATCTCTACTGAAAAAAAGAGGCAAAACTGCTCCATGTGTCTGGGGGTGGAAGAAAGAACACTATGATACAGCTCTCTTTTGATTAGGCAAATATGAAACAGGGTTGATTGGAAGGTCTCAAAAGCAGGTAAGGAAAAATGCCAAGGCACATCATCATTCCAAGAGCACTGACTTTCATCTGTGACAAAGGCTACCCTGTATGTTTTACATCAGTGGGATGAGATTCTCCACATGCAACCAAGGAAAAAAAGGCTGACACAAAAAAACAAACTACGGTTAAGAAAATCTGAATAACTTTTCCATAAATTCTGCACTTGTTATTCTAAAGGTATTATCCCAGCCTTCTAAGGAACCCAGAGTAGTATATCTGACATCTCTTTTATTTATTTCATACTGTGAGACAAAGGGATACCCCACTTGCCGGAGAGCTGTCCCTCCTCCACAATGAGGATAAGGAGACAAGACCCCAGCTAGCACCCAAACCAGCGGAGAGCGCTCAGTGAGGGACAGAGATAGAGGAACTGAGTGAACAGATATAGAAAATAATGATGGAGGAGGTTCAGGAGGAAAAGGCGGGAAAGGAGAGGAAAAAGAGGGTGGAGTTTGAGGAAGGGATAGGGGAGATAAAGAGGAAGGAAGGGCAGTTGCCACCAAGCTGGGAATGGGTGTGGATGGAGGATCCCTGGACTGGGTCATGGGAGAGGCTAAGAGTGTCCAAGGAGGAGGATGACTATGGAAGGAGAAGGGAGATTCCACCCAGACCTTCATATTGGGGAGAAGCCGAAGTGGAGGAGGAGACTGAGAAAGGAGAAAGAGAGGGGAGAGAGAAAGGAAGAAAAGATTAAAATGGAGGATACGAGAGATAAGGAGGAAGAGTAATAATTTTTTCTTATATTTGTTATGTATTTTATGTTGTAAGCCACCTAGAGTGGTCGCAATGACCAGACAGGCGGAGTATAAATAGAATAAATAAATAAAATTAAAATTACAGGAAGGACCCTGGGAGAATCGAGACCTAGAGAGACAAATCCTGTGGATTGATACCCTGGATGATGAGACTGTTCCCCTGTTGGAAGGTTTGACAAGGCAGACCATAAGAGATTGGGTTCCTTCAGATTTGCCGGGACCATGGAACACCAGGCCTATGCTAGTGTGATTTAGTATGCTAAGCGAAAGGAATTCAGTTTCTCTGTGTGAAAAGAGACAGCACAAAAACAAGGGGAAAAGTCATTTACCTCCTTTGTAAGATAGTACTGAAGCTCTGAGAAGAACAATAAGAACATGATGAGTCCACTGACTACAGTCACTGCACATAAAAATGAAAGCAGAAGTAAGATACAGCCATATATTGCAGCTTATACATCCCATAACATAAAATATTGCTCTGCATTGAATAAGTACTCAGGTGGACAGCAGCCGTTCTACAGTGTAGATTATAGAGAGCCATGCCCCGAGAGAGTTGTGAGTATAGGCTCTACTCTGGACAGGCCATGGAACTCCACTATTACAAAAGGCTCTTTCTAAGCTGAAGAAGTTCAGCTAGCACTGTTGCGTAAAATGATCAACATTCCAGAACATACCCTACAGCTATTCCTCAGGAAAGTAAATAACATTTGGAGGGCTCTCTGGAAAGAGAAGAGTTTAGAAACTCATCAGCTGTATTACAAAAAATACTGAAAACTTTTTAAGGTTTCTGGATTAGGTTGTTATTAAGATATGGGGCACAAGGCTGAATGACGACTGCCCAACTGAATTAAAATAACATATTAGTTTGGATGTGTAATACTAAAAAAGCATGCCTTACACAAATACTTATTCAGGGTTTAAAATGTAACAGATCTTTTCAGTATTGTACCAAAAATCATATAGAAATGAAGCATTATATAAAGCTTCCATCTACTTAGTTTTGAATACATTATCTTCCAGTTTTAGTCTAATGTTACCATTTAACCTGGAGGTTGAATCCTTCCTAAACTGGTAGAGAATCCAAACTTGCATGGACTGAATGTGTAATCCTTCAAAACTTTACTTAAAAGGAATTATATATATATATCTAATTAAGTTTACTCTCAGATAAGCACATATTGGTCTTGGTAGAAAAGAATGAATATAACGTCTTTCCCAATTAAAAATTAAAATCTTCTTTAACATCTGAATGCATCTGAAAAAAAGGATAATCCCATGAAGCTTATGTCAAATAAAACTTACTACATCTTTAAGATGTTACAAGCCTCTTGGCTGTTTTGCTGCAACAGATTAATGGAATTAGCCCCACGGAAATTACTGTTGTATCAGACATTGCTTCCTAAATTCCGGATTTCTTACAGAGCTGCATCTTTTGCAGATATATATTTTAATCTGTGTTGACGCTGCGACCATCAAAAACCTGTACACGTGTAAATTAGCCAAGAGATCTGGAAACACAAACAGAAGGACCCCACTACCTCAAACGAGGTGGGAGGGGAGAGAGCTTTGCTCCAACCTACGTGATCAGACAGACGCCTGTGTGAACGAAGCTCCTTCCCAGAGACCCAACATGACGAGGATAAATAAATGCAAGGCCCCCCGTCTACAACACGCGATGCGGGAGACATTTCACACTCGGGGGTGGGTCCCACCACAAGGCGCCGACCGGCTTTCCAAGCCAAAGGCTGAAGCCGGCTGGGACCTTCCTCGAGGGCACCACCCCTCCTCCGGACACACCGACTCCCCCTCCCCGCGAAAGCGGCAGGAAGCCGGGCGTGCCGCCCCTCACCGAGCGCGCCGCCGCAAGTCTTGACCCGAAAATCCTCCAGCGTCTTGGGGAACGCATCGAACCGCTTTAGCCTCCAAAGCGACTCCATGACGGACATTCCCGCCCCGGAAGAAACGACCAACTTCCGGTCTCTAGCCCCGCCCCCTTTACCTTCTAGGATGCGATCGACCACAGGTAGTCGGTGGTTTGGTACAACAATTTTTTTTTCATCTGTAGAAGTGTAGAAAGAGGTTTTAGCGCAGCTGTGGTTGGGCAAGATCCTGCTCTTCGCGAAACATTCAACTTTTCTGTCGGGTCTTACGGCAGTTTCGATTCTCTCGCACGCTTAAAATATGTGCAGCGTGCCTGAATGCATTTTGCGTGCAACGGAGGACTAGAAATGGGCGCAAGAGGCTACAGTATATTAAATAAGTGTAAGAGACGTCAGTGACTGAATATTGAGACGTTGGCCCCACCTCGAACTTGCCTCCAAGGAGAAGTAACTTTAGTGATACAGATAACTGCATGCCAGTGGGAAGGCACGATCCGTTACACTTAACCTGCTCCCCTTGGAGATGGTGAAATTTTTATGATCAACATTTCATGTGAAACAAAACCCCACTTACAAAGAAAGGGAACTCTATTCTTTGTCACTGCTGGTTGTTTTTGGACCATAAATAGTGGTATTTACTCAGGTTGAATTTTTGGATTTCTCACATTTCTCACATAGTGTTATCGAAACCCCCAAATACCTTGCGTAGAATGTATCTTTAATTTCAGGTGGAGGTGATTATGGTTGAATTGGGTTTATTAGAAATATATGGTGCTGGACACTGTTTTGTAGAGGGGGAGTTTAAGATAATCAATCCATATACTAATTGAGCTGCTGAGAAAGATGCAACTCTAACATATAATTGCATATCATAATATGATGGAACATCTACTAGTGATGCACTTACATCAAACCTTACAGGATACAGGGCATTTTTGGGTCAAAATGTTAAAAAAAATGAACAAACTTGGCTAGAAGGTATGTCAGCTTGTCAGAGAGATGGAACGGTATCTATGTTGCTGTTTTGGGATACCCAGTGTGGTGTAGTAGATAGAGTAATGGATTAGGATTCTAAAGACCAGGGTTTGAATCCCCACTCAGCCATGGATACTCACTGGAGGAATGGAACTCATAAAACCACTCCTTAACTATCTCACCTTGCAAACCCTATGAGGGTCACTAGAAGTCAGTTTCAACTTGACAATACATAACAATGCTATTTTGTTCTACTTCCCAACCAGTCCCCCCTTGGGACAGCAATTTTCAAACACAAGATAATAAATATATGCCATATAAGACATATCAAAACTTTCTGTACGGATGCTCATTTAAGCCCTAACCATTAAAAGCTGGTAATCATGTATATTAAAGTTAGTGAAGTTTCAACACCCTCTCTTACTGTCTCTAGAAATTAATTTGCAACAAAAGCAAATACATCTTGATTTCCAGCCCATATAATAAATAAAATACAAATACAAGCATAAGCACATAGTGTTTCTACATTACTTGCTCCTTTCCATCTGCTCCCCATAATTGCAGTCTTTCTAAACTGCCATCAGAGATCAGGTAGTAAATACTGTCAAGTGTGTGTGACTTCCAGCTACTCTGAACAAATAAGCCTTTGGATTGTAAGAAAAGATAATAATACTCCTTTAAGTATTAAAAAGTTGTTGTAGCCAATCATTCCCTTTGATAACTTCTAGACTGAATAACTTTAAAAGAGTATTACAGTATACTGATAATCCCCTTCTTTGATGTATACCTTAATGTGGCTAAGGGGCATGAATGTATCAGTGAAGCTTAGAGCAAGACTCTTAGAAGCCTGGACTCCTAGCAAGGTAACCCAAGGTGGAATGGTAGACGCGAGACTAAGATGCATACTCTCTTCAAAGGTAACTACCACATCAGCAGAAGATAATGGATAGTTGCAATAGTGATAGGGGCAGCAGCTACCAGGCAGCAGCAGGAGCTCAATGAGACACTGGCAGAAAAGGCAATGGTAGTGACACTCAACTGGCAGGAGGTGGTAATGGCAGTGACACTTTTGTTGGTACTGCACAGAAAATGGCAATGTTAAACCACAGCTGAACTGTTCTTACCTTGAAAACCCAATGATGAGACAGTTCAAAATGAAACAAGAAATAGTGCTGGAAGATGAGACTCACAGGTTGAAAAGCACTGGGGAAGAGCAAAGAACTAGTACAAATACTGCTGTCACTAATGACACAATTCCATTAATTCCAAAAGGACATCTAGTGCCTATGTTCACAACAGTGAAAGTCTGTACTATGCATACAGTTGGAGTATGGAATGCAAAGAGTATGGTAACCGTAGAGCAAGAAATGGGATGTATAAACATTGCAGTGCTTGGTGTCAGTGAACTAAAGTGTACTGGAATGGGATATTTTTAGTTAGACAATGACAAAGCATTCTGCTCTGAAAATGACAAATTCAGAAGCAATGGAGTGGTTCTAATACCAAGGCAAGTTGTAGCACAAACGCCTAGGGGCTATAATGAAAGAGCTGACTGAAAATCTATCACATACCCAAACAAGACATCTTATAATCATAGGTGACTGGAACACAAAGGTAGGAAACAAAGCAGAACCAAATGCTGCTGGAAAATGTGATCTGAGGACAGACATGAAGCAGGAGAACTCATCGAGTTCTGTGAAGTAAATGATTATTTATTGCAAATACATGCTTCAAGCAACCAAATAAATGACTATGCACATGGATATCATCAGATGGTCAATACAGAAATCAAACAGACTGCATATTTGGAAGGAGATGGAGAAGCTGTATTCTTTCTGTTAATGGTGCTTGTTCAGTCTGTACGAGATAGGCTGACTCGCTAAAAGAAGCCAAAGGATTGAATTTTACAAGAAGTGAGAAGGGCTGTTGAGGACAGAACATTTTGGAAAGCACTCATTCACAGGGTTGCCATAAGTTGGTGACAACTTGACAGCATGTTGTAATAGCAACAAATACTACTCCTGTGTTCTACTTAGCTCTGATTACTGGGAGCACTGGGTATTGTACTTAGCAGTTCAGAGATGTCTGGTTTGCTACTGATGGTATAGCTACAGGGATGAAGCTAATACAGCAAATGTCAGGATCAGCAATATGATTTATTATAAAGGAGACATATTTTAGTGTGTATGAGTTCTTCCTTTTTGCAGTGAGAAGCCCATCAAACACAAGCTTGCCAGGGCTAGAATAAACAAAAAATACAACAATTTCTAAGTGTAAGTTATTCAAATCTAACAAGGCTTGGATGAAATGCAAATAAATGTGGATGGAAATATTAAGACAAGTGACAGTATTTAATATGAATAGTATTTTATGTTTAAGGAAAAAGGGAGATGGTTAAAATGAATATATTTATTATAAATATTAAGAAAACAATTTAATACAAAAATATAAAAATAACTTTGGAGATATTTTACATTATGTTGCTTTGGAATAGTTTAATACAGGTTAATGCATTCATTCTGAAAATAAAATCTTATTACTCACTAAAAGTAAGTAATTCAACTGACAGCAATACTCTTTTCTTTCAGATTCCTTTGCCCCAGAGTTCAAAGTCTTTCTGGAAAAACAGGCTGAAAATATCTTCAGTAAGCTCAGCCTCTCAGGATTCACTTTTGTAATGCTGACTTTACTTGAAGCAGAAAATCAATACTTATAAACAGTTATAAACACATTGGCATAGTTTTGTTTTGAGGCAAATTCTCCACAGTATGCTTCTTCAGTTATTTACGTCTATATCTGCATGATCTTCATTGGTTCCAAACAGCGTAGAATTATATTCTCAGGATAAAAATTGGCAGGAGTACAAACCTAGTTGAGTGAGGGCAAGGCTTATGACCCCTCATGCATATAGTTCAATGGGTTAAAATTTACATTTACAAAAGAAACTTCCTGTCAGTATCAAAATTACAGTTGATGAGAATTTCACAAAGCTTATGCTACCTGCCACTAAGTCCATGCTACCTTGAATTTTGTGGGATACTTTTTGGTGTTGAGCTCATTAGCTGTTTTTCAGATATGAGGCAATCCCAGCCTACACCTGCCAGTGCCAAACTGTGGTTCAGGGACTCATCCAGCTTGTGGGTCTCCAGTTCCAGAACAGTAGCCTCAGGCTCCCTAGCCACAGCAGCTAACGAATCTGAGAGTTCTTGATGCAAGCTTGAAATCTCTCTGTTTCTTTTGGCACATGAATCAATATAATCCTGCTTCTGCTTCCGTTCTAGTGATAGCTGCTTTTGTAGAACAAAAACCTTTTAAAGAAATGACATCATAAAAAAGGATACCGGTGCAGATTCTGATTTCTAGACCTCGTGTTCTCAGCAAGGGAGATCTTCAGACTCATACAAAATCTTCCAGACATATTATCATTTCTAAACATCTCTTAATATTAAACTGCTGTGTTTCAACAATAAGCTTGCATTCAGTAATACTCAAGATCAAAATCAGAATGACAAGATAGGCCAAAAATTTAAAAGTAAAGGAAGGATACTAAATATTTGCAATATGAAAGAAACATGAAGCTCTCCCTCTTAAAGAGTTCTCCAGACACCACTGATGTACTATATAGACTGCTTCAATGAAGCTCTGTATAGGCCTAGCTGATAGGGAGATGCACCTCTTCAGAGATGGATGAGTCAGATATCAACCACTTACCTGTTTCTGAAATTCTGCCAGTTGCTTATGGAGGACTTGAGTTTCATCCTGAAGAGAGTGTAAGGGCAAGATCCAATTAGTTTATTTTCAAGAAGTCCATTAAGAGGAAGAGAAAATCATCTGTATATCTTTAACAAATAGTAGGATGATTTAAAGACATTAAATCTGTGATCAACACTTAAATATTTGGTACTGTCAGCCTGCTAGAATCTACCATAAAAATATATATATACAACAAAAACAATGGATATGTTTAAGCATGACTTCTCATATTATTCAGACCTTTCCAAAAGATGAAGTCTTTGACAGATCTGAGTCCGTTTGAGAGAGTCCCAAGCTGAGAGACAAGTTTCCACAACTTTTTTTCAGTTTCCTCCGTTCATGTTCTACCTGCAGTCAAGACACGTGGGCAGATAAAAATTATGAGGCCTAGGATAAAAGGGGATCAATAGAGGAACATAGCCAGCAGCGCAAACAAATGACTCCAAGTGCTGGAGTGGAACAGAAAACGGCGCACAGGGTATTGGTATTCTAGAAAGCAGTAGAATTCTGAAGATGGGAAGCATGTGAGAAAGGAAGAAGGGGGAAATGTAGCCATCAAATCAATAAAATCTGACATGTCTTCATAGGAAGAATCACTGTTATTGATAATGTGAATACTGGTATGAATAAACCACACACTGAGAAATGGGAAAGATGTATAAGCATTAGATGACAAATGCTGATTTAATCTATTTGTGTTTCTTTACAAAGAAACTCACTTGCTGTAGTGCGTTTCTAAGCTGGGTATTGTGTTGCTCTAGACCTTGTTTATCATTCTCCAACCTGGCAACGGCTTGCTGCAGAAGCTGTAGACGCTTGTGCAAGAGTGTCTTTTCAGCCACCCATGGCAGCACTCCCTCTTTTTTCACAGCCTATGTGGCAAACAAAACAGTAAAATATAATCAGAGGACGCAGAGGTGAGGAAATGAGACTGGATGCAGTACATGTCAACAGTATGGAAAACATTATGGAGATTTCACTCCATGGATGTAGTCTATTTCTCTTTTTCTCTCTCCCTCTCTTCAAGTTTCTACTTGAAAGTTTTACAATTAGGAAAAAGCCTACTAAGCTAGACACGTAAACTGGAAAATTCACTTAATACCTCTCCTTTCTGCATGAGAAAGTATCAGTGCTATTTCCAGTTTTAATATCTTTCCCAGCTCTTCCTTTATCTTACCTCTCCAGATACTCTGTGCTGTACATCTGGCACATCATTGTCTCCGGGCCATCTATCCACATCTCCTACCAGAGCTTTTGTAATAAGTCTCTCTTCCTCCAGAGCTCTGAGAGTTGTATCCAATTGCTCCTGTAGAAAAGCAAGCAGTCTTATGCATTCACTGAAGTACCTGACCATCATCATCTATTTATTTATTCTATATTGCATTGCATTTCTTCCCAAGGGAGCCCTAGGCTGTACATAATGAAATAAAAAATACATTATGCATTAATAATTCAGAACCATTAAATCAAACTAACAACATGGCACAACGTACCATTTAAAACAGTGAAGTAGTAAAGTCCTATGTCCACGTAACATTACAAAAGCCTAGCTGAACAATATGTTTTTGTTGTGTCTAAAATTCAATAATCCAGGGACTACTAACACCTCCACATGGATGCAATTCCATAGTTGGGGTGTTGGCACTCAAACTGAGCAATTATTACTGTGCTCCTACAGAACTACATGTGTACATGGAGAATGTATCAAGTTGGGTATGTGTCTCTGACAATAACAAACCCATAGCCAGTAATTGTTTTTTCTTCCCCTCCTATGTTCTTTAATCTCACTGGAAGGACAGATCCTGAAGCTGAGGCTCCAATATTGATGTGTTTTTATCTATGTAAGCCACCCCGAGTAGACACTGTCTAGAGGGGTGGGGTAAAAATCTAATAAATAAATAAATAAATAAATAAATAAATATTTTGGCCATCTCATGAGAACAGAAGACTCCCTGGAAAAGCCCCTGATGTTGGGAAAGTGTGAAGGCAGGAGGAGAAGGGGACGACAGAGGACGAGATGGTTGGACAGTGTCATCAAAGTTACCAACATGAATTTGACCCAACTCCGGGAGGCAGTGGAAGACAAGAGGACCTGGCGTGCTCTGGTCCATGGGGTCACGAAGAGTCGGACATGACTTAACAACTAAACAACAACATGTTCTTTAGTTATTCAGGTCCAAGTGTCCATTTCAATTGCATTTTAAACCAGTAACCAGTATTGCACTACAGACCAGTAGTGACCAAAAGGACATGTAATTTACACAAGTGCTTTCTAAAGAATAGCAAACCATGTTATGCTATGACAACAAACTGCAGGCTTTTTAAAAGAGAAGCACCAGAGTGCTTACCTGCAAATGAAACCTGTCCCGGTCCCTGTCCGAAACCATGCTCTGTACAATAACCATTTCTTCTCTCAGGACTCTCAGGGCCTGTTCACTCTGGGCAAGGGACAAACCCAATTTCTGTGCTCTCTCTCTCCATTCTATCTCTCCACTCTCTGTCTTTTTCAGAATAGCTGTTATACGATCCAATTCTTCTTTCTTGACATTTTTTTCATTTTCCAAGTGTTGATTTTTTTCCTTTTGCCATTCCAACTGCTGATCTTTTTCTTGAAGAGCCTCTCTCATGGCTTTACCCTCCTCCTCCCATATAAGAAGTCTTTGGATATAATTCTTTAAGTTGTTCTCTTCATTACTGCCTTGCAATCTCAGAACAGAAGTTATTTCCTTCAGCTGTTCACTATACATTAGCAATTCCTTTTCTTTACTTCTGACTTTCTCTTCCAGTTGTTCAGCTTTCTCTCTCTGCCCTTCGACCTCATCAACCTTTTCCTTCAGTGCATGTTGGAGATGTTGTATACTTTCCTGAAGCTTCTTAATTTCATATTTCATTTGCTTTTGCTTCCTCCCATCTTGTGCTTTCATCTCTTCCTCCCTTTCATTTTGTCCTTCCTTCAGAAATTCGTCCTCTCCACATGAACATTCTTCATATTCTTTTATCTGTTTATTTCTATACTGAAACTCTTGGAAGTCTTTCTCATTCTCTTGTTCTCTCTGTTTAATTACTTCCTCCAGATGGCTTGCCTGATTCTGGCATTCCTTTAATTCTGTGAGTGTGAGTTCTACTTTAAGCTGATGTGTGCTAATTTCTTCAGCCTGTCTGACAAGCAATTCTTCTTTCTCTGACATCAACTGCTTAACCCTATTCAGATCCTGTTGTAGGCTTGCAATCTTACTTTGTTCCATCTCTTTCTCTCTTGTGAGTTTCTTGATTAGCTCTTCTAAGGATATTATCTCCTTGTCTCTGTCCTGAAGAAAAGATCTGGTGGCCTCCAGTGTCTCTAGGATAGAATGTTTCTCTGCCATCGCTTTTTCCTCTCGTTGCCGAAGTTGGCAGTTCTCTTCCTTTAAGGATTCCAGCTGTCTCTCTCCACTTCTCAAAGCTTGCTGCAGATTTATCTGCATTTCTGTTACTATTCTTTCTTTCTCTTCCTTGTGTTCTTTTTGCTGCTCATTCAGAAACTTTGTTTCTTCTTCTCTCTCCATTAACACCAGTCTAAGTAGCTCCAACATATCAATAATTGTCTCCCATGTATGCTGTTTCCTGAACTGCTTTAACAGCTCTTCTTGAGGCTGGGCACTGCCATTTTTCTTCTTTAAGACTGCTGTGCTATACTGGACATCTCCAAGCAGAACTCGTACATGTTGTTCCACTTCTTCTTCATGTTTCCTCTGGAACTCTAGCTCTATATTTTTTTCCTTCAGGGATGCCTGTGTCTTTGCTATAAGTTCCTGAAGAGCCTTCCGTTCCACTTCCATTTCCCCTTCTCTTTCTTTTATTTGCTGTTTTTGTGACTCAAGCTCTTCATCTCTTTCAGTCACTATGAATGCCAACTGTTTTACTTTCTCATTAAGCTCACGGAGATGAGCTTCCTTTTGAGCCTCACACTGCTGGAAACTCATTAACTGTTCCCCCTGGAATTCTACCTCCCTTTCTTTATCCCTCAGAATGGCCTTCATGTGTTCTAAGCTTGTCTGAAGTGTCTTTTCACGCTTTTTCCCCTGTTCTTCTTGTTCTTGAAGCAACTGCTTTTGAGATGCCAGTTCCCAATCTTTCTCACTCAACTGTGCTTTCAAATCACTTAGCTCTTTCATCAAAGACTCCATTTCTGAGCATTTATTCCCTTGTAAAAACTGGATTTTCTCCTCCATGGTTTTAGTTGTCTTTACTTTCTCCTCTAAATTTGAAGTCAACCGTTCTATTGTAATTCTTTGGATTTGTGTCAGCTCTTCCAGTGTCTGGATCTTTTCTTGTTCAGAATTCATGGACTGAATCCTCTCTTCTAAATCTAAATTTAGTCTCTTTAAAGCAGCCTTATGCATTTCGTTCTCCTTTCTCAAACCTTCAATCTGAGTTTTTTGAGATTCAATTTCTTGACTTCTCTTTTCTAGGTTTTCAGTAAGGTGTTCTACAGCAGCTTTTTGAATTTCTCCATGCCTCTCCAAATCCAGAATCTGCTGCAGTTGGGCTTTTATTTCTTCATCTCTCTTTCCTAGTATAACAGTCAGATAGTCCAGGTTTTCTTGCAGAGCTCTTCCGACTCCTGCCTCTTGTTGCAAAGTTTTAATCCTCTCTTTGTGGGTCTCTAATTCCTCTTCTTTAAGCCTGAGAGCTGAGAGAGTTGTTTGAAGCTCCTGCTCTAGAGACTGATTCATCTTTTCCATGGCTTTTGCTTGAATATCTGAAGCTTTGACAGATTCCCGAAGAAAGGCCAACTCACATGACAGCTTTTCTTTAGCCATTTGTAGCATATCTTGTTCATTCTGAAACAGCAAAAATAATTTTCAAAAATTCAATCTTTTGGATTTGCAGGACTTTTTGTTCTCTTCAGGGATAAATTCTAAGCATTCTTATATCTCAACAATCTCCCATTTTTTATTATTAACTCTTTGATACATATATTAATAGGAAACAGCAACACTCTAAATACAGTCTTTACGTAAAAACAAACTGGACATGACCCTTTAAAGTAAGTGCCTTAAGGACCTGCTCAATTTCATTCTCACCAGTATATTCTTTTTTTGCTTCTCTGTAATCTCAAGAGTCTTCTCCAAAGCAACCACCTTCCCACGTAAAGTCACATTTTCTTCTTTGAAGGCAATGACCTCTTCCTTCAAAGCAGATTCCAAGGAGCCCCGTTTGCCTTCTGCCATGTTTTGTTCTGAAATGGAGAGAATAAAGAGAAAATAAACAGACATTTTGTTACATTAAGAATGTGATGTTAGTTTATCTTATATGAACATTCATTCTGCTCTGTGGAAAAATATCCAGGAATGGGTTAATCTCATCAGTGCCCAGGAAAGGCAAGGGGCTGAATAATGAGAAGTCAGAGAAAATAAGAATTGTGTAGGTAGGGGAGGTTAGTACACCTTGTGTTCTATGAAAATGAGTTGGCCACTAGTTGGATGGGTCCGGATGTCTCCTTCTTCACAGATCAAAATGGACCTCTAAGCTAATGACACATTCTTGGTCTGCAGGAAGGAGCCATGTGAACATGCCCTACATTAATTATTACGAGAAAATAGGTGGCTGTTTCACTGTTTCTTGCAAATGAAGGAAGAAACGGGAAATGCTGAAGTATATTTGTCAATCTTGTAATGTCTTGTAAATATGGAAACTGGGATTGCCTTGCTACCTTGGAGACTTCCTCTAGGAGAGCACTTGTAGAAAACGCAACTGTCATGGTGGATGCCCTGATAAAATAACCTGATAAAATAGCTTGTGGCATGCCCTGTTTTAGGGAGAAGTGAAGCCTCATATAACAAAAAGATGCATGCCTTCAATCTGTTACTATAACAAATGGAGTGGCCTTCTTGTCTAGTGATGTAAGACAGGATCAGGAAGCAAACTGCATCTCCTGAAGGAGGTAGTGCACTTGGGGTAAATCTTTAAGGACTGCCTCACACTAAGTTTATGTTAATTCTTTTCTAATGAGTAAGAGGGATTGTAGCGTTCACCCTTATTATGTTAAGTAGTCATGCATATTCATGCTGCAGGCTAATGTTGCTGAGAGGCAGAAGGGAGAGATATGTAAAAAGAGTCAGAATCAAGAAGGAGTCAGAGTCAAGAAGGAGATGAGAGTGGAGATAGAGTGTGGTATTTGGGAGGTGTGATTAGTCAGAAGAGTGAAAAGTAACGGTAAGATCAAATAGAAAATTGTTATTGATGACTGAGAAACCTGAAGAAGATTCTTATGAATGATAATCCAAAGATCTGTAATCAATAAAATTGTTTTATTTAAAGAAAGTGATGTTTGGACCTTCATCTTTATCCTTCCATAAGTAAAGTATGTTGATTTAGTGATCAACTGGTGGCAGTGTGTGAAAAGGAGTATTGGTTTGCCTTCGTGTGCTCTGTGTCTGGGGACTCAGGCACGGGCCTTGAGGTGCGAATGCAACAGGGATTAAGATAGAAGGAGGGTGGAATGTTAGTATCAGGTAGAAAGGGTGGGTCCAGCCATAGAGTCATTGTGTTCTGGTCAAAGAACCAAAGATATTTCCTGTCAGACAGTGTACAGTTTGGCTGTTAGTAAATCTACTTTTTCTATGGTGTGCATGCCACAGTAGAGGAACTGTCAGGACTACTAGGTTTCAAACACGCCAAGTCTCCTTTCTGAGCATCTAAAGTGGTCATAAATGTGTCCAGAAGTTGAATATAAGCCAGGACCAGTAGCTGTTTGAGTTCATATCTCAATGTTTAGGCTTCTTTTATCAGAACTCTGATTAACCTGAGCTCTAAATGGACAAAGTAAATTTCTGCTTGGCTCCTGAAGCTTTGTCTGAGCAATCAGTGATGCACCTTATATTTATATATTTATATATATTTATATACCTGTGAATTTCGTTGTATGGGTATACTGTGTATAAACTTACAATGACAATAAATTATATTATATTATTATATTTTGTGCTTGCTCTTGAGCCTCCTTTTCCGGAACATGCTCTCTTAAAACTTAACAGGCCATCCAGTACCATATTCTTCGTGGTTTTCCATATGTTTTTTCACTACTTGGCAAGACCTGGCTTGCACCCCTAGTTTTCTTTCCCCATCTTCTCTTATTCCAGCTTGATCCTTGGCTCCAGTTCTCTGACAGGATCCAGTCTACTGCCTACATTTTTCGATACCTGCTTTCTGTCCTGCCTAAGTTTCCTTCTTTCATAAGTGTTGCCAAGTCATATAATGGGCCGTTCAAAGTACATGAGCTATTCAAGAAGTGGTTTACCATTGCCACACCCCAATGGGTTTCTGTACAATTTAAACCCAGGTCTCCCAAGTCTTAGCCCAATACTCTTATCGCTGTATTACACTAGCTCTTTCTTTTATCACAGTATCTGAAAAACATCACCAACAAAGCAGGAACAAATAAGGAATTCAGTAGGCGCAAGAATGTGACTCACCAGTACAACCAACAAAACTCCCCTTCCCCAATGCATTTTAACAACTGGGTTCTTCATTAAGGAATAATCCATGACTATCAATTCCCTTCCTCTCCCAAATTCTACCTCTAAACAGGAAGATATACTTTTTGGGAGACCCATAGGTAAAGGTAAAGGCTCCCCTTGACATTTAGTCCAGTTGTATCCAACTCTAGGGCACAGTGCTTATCCCCGTTTCCAAGCCATAGAACCAGTATTGGTCCGAAGACAGTTTCCATGGTCACGTGGCCAGTGTGACTAGACACGGAATGCCGTTACCTTCCCACTGTGGTGGTACCTATTTATCTACCAGCATTTATTTTTACATGCTTTCGAATTGCTAGGTTGGCAGGAGCTGGGACAAGTGACGGGAGCTCACTCCGTCGTGTGGATTCGATCTTACGACTACTGGTCTTCTGACCTTGCAGCACAGAGGCTTCTGTGGTTTAACCTGCAGCGCCGCCACCAGACCCATAGCATCTTTCAAGTATCATCGTGAAAAGGAAGAGAAACTTTACCTTCCTGGCTTTGAGTCAACCAATGTTGCAGTTCTTGTGCTTTGGCATTTGCACGATCCCTTTCTGCTACCTTTTCACTGAGTTCTTGCTTCAGTTTCTCAGAATTCTTTCTCATTTCATCCTGTAATTAAGACAACAGTTGAATTATTTGCTGTAGATGTCCAATTGAGAGAACTATAAAATGGAAGAAGGTCGAAGGACCTCTAGGACAATATGGAAAAACTAATTTCTTAAAAGCCAAGCTCCATATTTTATACAATTCTATTTATGTTTTTCTCAGATTTTAAAAATAGAAAAACAACTGCTTAAGGCTGCAATAATGAGAGGAAGCAGTGTGTATGGGTAGGAGGATCGTTGACCTTCTCCTTGCCTGTCATCTTTCTTCTCAATTTTTCCCCCCTTCAAGCAGTATTTTCTCCTGCAGGGGAAAATGCATAGATTCCTAAAGATTCTCATCTTGTGAGTAAGTATTATGAGAAGAAAAGCACCAAGCAAGAAAAGAGGTAAGACTCCTACTCACCCTACCTGTGTCTCGCACCTGCTTTTCATTTTGAAAAAAGATGTACAGACTCTGTAGTTTCAATAGTGTTTGAAACAATCTTCCCATCACAGCATCTGATGCACTGATTGGAAATAAATGCACAGATTGGAAATGCCAATGATTTGACATTCCAGCTCAAACACAATTTTACTCTCGCTCTTGAAAGAGAATCCATTCACCTTTCAAATCAGTCCTCATGAGTAGAGTTCTGTTATTGTTAACACGAAATGAAGATGCAGCATGAATTCTTGCAAGTCCACCTATTAACTAGTTACATTAAGAAGTAAAGTTATCAAAGGAACAGATTCAGATTTACCTAGCTTAAAGAGTAACGGGGTTTGCCCAGTTCAGGCACTTTTTAGTAACATCAGTGAAAACACCCCAGACTGACAGAACTACCATAATCTTGGTTTTAAAATATATCTCTGCACCTCTGTTTCAAACGACTCAAAAAAAGACAGCCCAATTGTTATAATTATTACCTAAGCTAGAGATGTACATTATTTTCTGAATCTACCAAGTACAGAATAAATTCAATGTAACAGATTATCCTGATAATTATTTATATAGTGTTTGGAAGATTATAAAGGCTAAAGCACTGCGGGTTACAGTGTAGCTATCCATAATGAATTTATAACCTTCTTAGCTTTTCTTTTCAATATCTAAGTTTGGGAGAATCATCAACAGTAGTTAGTGGTTTTAGAAAAATGAAACAGGTACCCGCTCTAGGCGAGTCCGCCATAAATCTTTCCGCAGGTTCTGAACAGCTTCTGCCACTCTCTCCACTGTAACTTCTCTGGAAAAGTCCTTTGTCTGAGACAGCGAAAGTCCCATTACATTATCCTGTTCTGGAAAAATAAGTTCCTTCTTTAATAGCAACTAGCCGGAGCATCATTGATAGCAAAGAAGCACAGAAAGTCTGACAAGAACTTTCACTACAGGTCAAATTTACATGTTCTAAGAGGGAATTGCTGCACCTCCTCATTGTTTTGCTCTCTTTTTCTTCTAACATCTAACACAAGAGGAGGGTGAGGAAACAGAAATATGCACAGAACACTGAAAATATTTGATGCATTTTGGATTAAATCTGGGGTCCACAATGTAGCACTTGGCAGGCTAGTTATCCATGCTGCAAATGTGTTCGTTCGTTCGTTCGTTCGTTCGTTCGTTCCTCCCTTCCTTCCTTCCTTCCTTCCTTCCTTCCAATTCCATTCCATTCCATTCCATTCCATTCCATTCATTCATTCATTCATTCATTCATTCATTCATTCACACATGGGGAAAAATCTGCCCTGCCAAAAAAATAGCTGGAGGATGATGAAAGACAAGCTTCTGTCAATTAATTACCTATGGCACAGGCTGGTCTTTGGCAGGAGATCACCAGCCAATCTACTCCAGTGATGCATTGGGAGGGGCAGGGTTGTGGTGGTTGTTTTTTAGGAGCAAGGGACCCTGCCCTCTTCCCACTGCAAATAAATGAAGGAATTGTTCCTTTCACTTGCATGGGAAGTGAGGAGAAAAGGAGGAAAGAGGAGCCAGCCAGTGAGGAGCACACATTTACACAGAATATGCACATATACCTAGTCTGTTCCCAACATTTCTGTGACTGGCCACCTTTTCATAGCAGCCAATTTGTAGCTATGCCCAAAGCACATTTTCAACATTCCAAATGGGCCTCAAAGCCTATGAAGGTTGGGGGACCCATATAAGCTATTCCACATCCAAGCAAGCAAAGAAATAAAGACAAAGGTCCTTTCTCTCATAACAACTACTCTGGTCATGAAGTACTTATAAAGTAATATATCATCACATCCATTGCATTATCCATACTATCCACAAGATGTCAGTGCATTCCAACAAACAATAAATAGTCCACCTGCTTCAACTCACCTCCACTAATGGACAAAGAATTGGAAATGTTGTTGTCTCCTTGGCCTCTGCGTTCCAGTTTTTCATCAGGGCTGTTACACAACATGTACTGTAGAACTGAACTCAACTTAGTCAGCTGCGATTGTGCCTCCCAACGGGCAGAACAAGCATGCTGACACTCTGATGCCAATGCCTCAGCCCTACTCTCTGTGCTCTGTAGGCTTAGGCGCAGCTTAGATACTTCAGCCTCCAGCATCTGCATGGAGTCCTTCACATGCTGCTCACTAGCACGGGATACTTCTAGGTCTTTGGTCAGCTGTTCTTTGTGAGCTACTAAAGCTGTCTCCTTCTCTACCATCATTTGTTTGAGTGACTGTATCTGTGGGGGAAACAACATAATGTACTGGGGCATAGGAACAGTTGGAAAACAAGGATTCTGAAGCACAAAATGAGCAAGCACCCAATGGAAAAAGTCACAGAGACAAGATTAAATTGCTAGGAAAATATATCAGTAATAAGTCTGGGCCTCATACGATACTCTGATTACAATGGATCTACTACAAATATGTTATTGTGCCATATAGGGAACTGATAAGAGTTGGAGAACAGCAATATGGACATAAGTAAGCAACAAAAAGGTAGCAGTAAAAAAAGAAGTAGCAGCTTGCTTCCTCTCTCACACAAAATCCAATCTTGTGGACACTACCTGGCCTTTGAGCTCCTGCACCTCTCTTCTGTATGCAACATGTAGTTGCTCTGATTGCTGCAAGGCAGTATTCAATTTGGCAATTTCACCTTGATGAAAATTATCACTGTCTTGCAGTTTTTGGAGCTTAACCTCTTTCTCCTCCAACAACAGAGCCACACTGAAACACAGCAAGCAGAAAATCAACTATATAATTTTTTTAAAAAAATCCAATACATACAGGTACAACAATCTTTTTTCTAATAGAGATTATCCATAGTTTTTGTTCTTCTATTAACATTATAAATGTTATAAATGAAATCTTCATTTATTTAACATACAGACAGTTTACCAGATTGTGTGCAAAAACATGGCAATTATGCAACAGTTTACATGGAGAACATCAAGTTCAATGAAAGAGGTAAAGTGAACATTGGCCTAGAAATTATTTATGCAATGTAATTGGAAAAAAATATGGATTTTAGCAAGCATGAGACATCATCTCTGACAAACATACTATTGGAAACAAGACATAATATAGCAATTCTAACAATCAAAGATGACTTCTGACAATAGAAGAAAAACCTGGGTGTTTTTCAACAACTGTTAAGAAATATAACTACTTTTCAAAAAGGCTCTTAGGCAGAACTGATGTGCTCACTGTGTTGTAGTTTTGTCTCTATTTCTAATATCTGTTATTTATTTTCTTTATAAAAAATCCTACAGTTGTGCACAATACCAATTAAACAATATATTCATGCAATCATAGTAAACCATAAAACAGAAGAAACGAGACAGCATGCACATGGTGAAAAAGTAATGTATAAGATGTGACAGAGATCCAGTAAAAATCCTAGTAGATAAGTAAGTCTTTAGCTAAAAATTTAAAAGATTTGGTGTCAACTATATTGGCTTGGGGGAAGCAGAGAGGTGAGAGTCAATTGCACAGCTAGAGTGACAGTAATGGGAATCCTTTCTTGGATTGCCACTCACTGAATTCTTGGCAACTGTGGCAACATTAAAAGGGCTGCCTTACTAGATCTTAGTGTCTGTACTGGTACACAAGAAAGGGATCCTTAAAAGGATCTGCTATTGTACCAGTTAGAATACAGACTAAACAGTACAGCTGAAGTATAGCAGTGGCAAGAGATCTTTGTGGTGACAACAAATCAATTGAGAACATAAACTATGGAATTCATAAACACAAGATGTATGGATTAACCTTCAAATTAGAGCACTTTATAAGGGGTAGACATTCATAGAAAATCAATGACTAGTAATCCAGATGATATATATTACTTCCAACATTTCTGAGTACCTGTATGACAAGATGTTAATATGTAACCGCAGCTTAAACAATTACTCCACCTACATGTTATGGGACTTGGGCTCACCTAGCTCGTTCCTGCTCCAGAGTTTCCAATGCTGCCTTAAGCTCTGAATTCTGACACTCAACCTCTTCCCATTGGCTCTGCTCTTTCTTCATCTTCTGCAGAGCAGTGTTCTGATCTTCCATCTCCTTCTGCTTGGTCTTAAGCTCCATAATCTGACACTGCAACTCTTCTCTTTGACTACAAAGAAGGGCCTGCAATTCTGCGTTCTGATGTTCAACTTTCTCCTTCCAACTCTGCAACTCTGCACACCTTTGCTGGGCCTCTTCCCAATGGATATGAAGGGCTGCTCTCTCCTGGTCTGCTTCTTCTTGTTGCCTCTGAAGTGCCACCTTCAACTGTGCATTCTGATGTTCTAGCTCCTCTTTTTGGTGCTGCAGCTCTATATTCTGAACCTCTGCCTCCTCTTTCTGAGTTTGCAGCTGTTTATTTTGACATCTGACCTCCTCCCACTGTTTCTGAAGCACAGAATGTCGCTTTGAATTCTGATGCTCTGCTTCTTCCCAGGACCGGTGTTCCCTTTCCAGCACTTCAAGAGTGGCACGCTGGTGCTCCATTTCTTCCTGCTTTCTCTGCAACTCTCTGTTCAGATATTTTTCTGCCTCCCACTGATTTTGTAACATAGCTCGCAGTTCTCTATTCCTGTGCTCTATCTCTTCCTTCTGGCTCTGTAACTCAATATTCTTATGCACCATCTCCTCTCTCTGCTTCCTTTCAGCTTCCAGCATCTTTTGGAGGTGTGTGACTTCCAGTTCCTTCTGTTTCGACAATTCTTGTATGTTTCTTAAATGTTGCTGAGTCTCTAAGCTAAGCAACTGGCAAGAATCGTTTGCTGTCAACAACTGGGATTCCAGCTCTTGTACCTGGAAAATGTACAAGAGAATAATGAAGGGCCAGAAGCTACAGTACCTATCAGTATACATATGGAGGAAACATCTCATTTCAAGACACAAAGTTTCATGTTAACTTCAACTCTCCCTTTGAGAGTGAACTTATATGAGAAAGTTCACAGTATAAACTATCAGTGTGACAGAAATATTTTCCATCTGAGTAAAATGGAGAAAAAGGAGGAGGATAGGTGAGATATTATCCAGCATTCATTGTTTTGCTATACAGTCTATAACATCTGTAGTTCCTTAAAATATTGTTTAAAACTATTTTCTCCAAAATTGTTTCATGTAAAGGCTTTCTGGTACTTCCAGCTGTTTCCCAAAATATTTTAGAGACAGGTCCCCAAGCACACTTTTTACTCAAAAAGATTGTCATCAGTGCTTGATCAGGCAGTTTGTGAAAAACTGAATGTTTGGTACAGTACAATAAATCAGAAGATTAAGTTTCATGACTAGTTCAGTGGTTTCCAGTAAAATCACCTGGCTTTGCAAAGCATCCTGTTGTTGAAGAAGGATATTGATTTCTTCTTTGAGAGATTTTATTTCTTCCCTGTGCTGCTGTTCTAATCTTTCCATTGTATTCTGAGCCTCCTTCAGATCAGCTTCCAGACTGTGTATAGTATCCTAAACAAAAAAACAAACAAACAAACAAACAACACAAAACAAGATAGGATATTTTTCTAGTATAAGACTAGAAATTTTCATGATCAAGGTATCTCCCCTGCCAGGTAAGTATGACTCTAAAGATTTTCTGCCTGTACTGCTTTATTATTACGGTTCATCTTCTACTTTTAGTCCACTAACATGCAAGAACACTGGAAAAATGCAGGTTCTCTATAAATATATTAATATTACTCAACAGGCAGTTGTCCTTCAAAAATGGGGTAACTGTATCATCCAAAGTGGCTGAATATGAGCAATAGTTTTGAAATACAGTACCGTATTTGCTGGCGTATAAGATGACTGGGTGTATAAGACGACCCCCCCAACATTTCCACTCAAAATATAGAGTGGACGGCTCTGCTGCGGTGCCACTCAGGCATGGCCGGCTCTGCTTCCCTCCTTCTGTCCGGACCAACCGTCTGCCTGCCCGCCTGCCTTCCTCCCCAACCAGCGCGGCCCCGCATTACTCCCTCAACGGCAGCGGCGGCTCCTTCCTGGCCCAACTGAAGTGCACCCGGCGTAGAAGACGACCGCCCCCCCCCCATTTGGAGGCATGTTTTTGGGCCAAAAAAGTCGTCTTATACACCGGCAAATATGGTATATCAATACAATGGAAATATCCAAGGACAACTTTCCATGCATTAAATCAGCGGTTCCCATTCTTGGGCCCCCAGATGTTCTCAGACTAAAACTACCAGAAGTCTTCTCCACCAGCTGCACTAAGCCAGAATGTCTGGAAGCTGTAGTGCATCATCTGTGGACTCAAAGTTGGGAACCACTGCATTACACAATTGCTCCAAATTACCCATCTATTGAGCCAGACTTTCATCGTGTTAAATATACTTCTGCAAGTCTAATTTTATCGCTTCATGCTGGATTTTCAATAGCTTTCATCTGTTTTTCAAGTCTATCTGCTTCTTATTCCTACCTGCTCCTCCCCTTGATGCTTCTGCATTTCCTGATGGAGATACTCCAGCTGCTGGCGAGTACCATCCAATTCCTCTTTTGTCTGGAAAAACTCCCCTAGTAAGGATTTCCTCTCACTTTCTTTTTCAAGCAGCATCTGTACATGTAGAGGTTAGAAAGCAGAAAATATAAATGTGCTACATTTGAGCTACACTGTATAATCTGCAAGAGATAGAAATGTGGAATCCATCAAATACCTATAGTACCTGAGAGAGAGTGAGAGTGAGAGAGAGAGTGTGTGTGTTCCTAATTTATTAGATGCTATCCTAGTCTGAACTCTGATCCATTCAAAGTCTCGCCATTCAGATTTGAGAGTGATCAGGAAGAAACCAGGCCATTTGTATAAAACAGTAGTACCATACTTGCTGAGTACAATGAGAAATAGAGTAAAATAAAGCAAAAGACAGCTTGTAACATTCTTGCTGTTGTAGGAATTTATGACAGACAAGCTCCTGGGCAAAATTTATCAGATACCTGTGCACTCTGGATCCAGAGATTAAAATAAGGATGCAGCTATCTAACCAATAATGTTATGGGCCTGTCCAACACATCTAAACAGCAGTCAGAATAGATTTTAAAAACTGAGAAGTTTCACAGCTAGAGAGGAAGAAAAATACCCAATTCATTTATTAGCTATAAGCCTGGGAATAATCTTATTTCTGAAATGCAGCAAGCAGATGGGGAAAAGTTATTGCAACCCAGTTGCAATATGCTAAGAGAAAGAATATGGCTGTGACAGTCTGTGATATGATTATCTGAACACTTTGTATACTCTTTGCCCCCAAGTCTTTTGCCAACACTGGAATCTATCAGTATTTCACAAGAATCTCACACTGAGATCCATAATTACCCTAAGTGGCTAATCTGATAACATTACCAACAAGAAATTATTAGTGCAAGGCACTTGTCAAAGTTTGAAATTTAGTGTAAGAATTGTAACCCAAGAAATGAGAGATGTGATCATAAGATGGAAGTCTGAACAGCAACGCACTGCCCTGAAGTAGAGATACTTCAGGACAAGAAGCTAATTTTGCCAAATTAGCAAACCACCTATAAAATATTGGTTCCCTAAAAAGTGGAGACGTGGTGGCACTGCGAGTTAAACCGCAGAAGCCTCTGTGCTGCAAGGTCGTAAGACCAACAGTCGTAAGATCGAATCCACGCAACGGAGTGACCTCCCGTCGCTTGTCCTAGCTCCTGCCAACCTAACAGTTCAAAAGCGTGTAAAAATGTGAGTAGATAAATAAGTGCCACCTCAGTGGGAAGATAACGGCATTCCGTGTCTAGTCGTGCTGGCCATGTGACTACGGAAACTGTCTACAGACAAATGTTGGCTCTATGGCTTGGAGACGGGGATGAGCACTGCGCCCTAGAGTTGGACACGACTGGACTAAATGTCAAGGGGAACCTTTACCTTACCAAACTAGCAAAACACATTGAAATCCAATTGTGTTTGCAACTTTGGTGAATCCCATTTGTTTCTCTACTAGAGCAAAGTCCACAGAGAAACACTGCATCTTGTTCCAGAAGCAAAAGTAGGCTTTGTTTTCAAATTTACATTAAATACATTTTCTACAGTACTGGTCAGATCCACTGAAATTTTCATTGTATCTATAAAAGTAGCCACCAACTGAATTAGTGGATCTCTGTTTATTGACATAAGGAATTCAAAACATTCAGATACAACCTAGATAACTGATTTTCCTCCATAGATGCAAACTGGGACATGGCTTGGTTGTGTGAGAATATTTTTGAATAATTTTATTATGCGTCTGGATATACTAAAGGCTACAAATACTGTACTTACAATACTTTTTTAATTTTCAAAGTACTGATGTGTTTTAAAAGTGCACTCTACTTTTCTGTACTCTCTGGTTATAGCTTTTAAAGCTGTAAGCGCCTGTTATTTTTGGACTGAAATATGATTTAAGTTCTTGTCTCTTATAGCTAAAAGTTTATACTTATACTTGAAACATATTTATCTGACTTAAACATTTGCTTGCAACTTAAGTTCAATCTTCATATATTTTTAAGCAGTTGTACCTATAGCTTTTCTCACTGGTGTAAGAATGTTTTTAATGTTTTTGAATGTTAATTTTTGGATTTTTGTACATAGGGACACATACCGTATTTTTCGCTCTATAAGACGCACTTTCCCCCCACAAAACAGGGGGGTGGAAAGTCTGTGTGTCTTATGGAGCGAAGAAAACAGATTTTTTTTCCCGTTTTCTTCTCCTAAAAATTTGGTGCGTCTTATGGAGAGGTGCGTCTTATGGAGCGAAAAATACAGTAATTTTGCCAAGTTAGCAAAAAATAAAAAAATAAAGCTCGTAGAAATAGGCAGGCTGGTGTTGCCTGGAATCAGTTTGTTCTCCTTACTTCGCCATAAGTGAAACAATGGTTTAAAAGATTTATACTTTATACCCAGATGAATATTGATGTTATTAAGAAGGGTTATCTGATCTCACACTGAAATTAACCTTTTGGGGATAAATGTCAGGTGTGACTGGCCACCACAGACTCAAGATACCATGGGGTGTTAAGCTAAGCAACCTTACCTGTTGCTTAGCATTTTGTTCCTTAATAAGTTCACTTTCCATCTGTGCTTGTACAGCAATGACCTCCTGCTGCAGTTCTTGGAGCTTCCTCTCATACAGACTTTCAGTGTCTTCTTTTTCCTTGACCATGCGCTGCAGCACCTGCTCCAATTCCATGCGGTGACGTTCTCGTTCCGATTTCTGGTAACAGATCAACCCATTCCAGTGAGAAGACAGAAGGGAAAAAGCTCAACTTTTAGCTATTCAGGTCATTCTTTTGCTTTAACAGAAATTGGGTGCAGTATTATCAGCTTTATTTCAAATCCTTTTTGGGGAAGCTGATCACCTACAGAGAGAGTGGGGTATCCCTTTTAGACAAGGGGTTAAATTCAGTTTCAAAAAGGCTCTAGGGGAGCACAGTGGTACTTAGGATCAAAGGCCACAAAAAAAATCAGTATTTTTAAACTAAATTTTCTTACTGGCAGTAACTCAACTTTAAGGAAAACATTCCAATCTTTTAAAGTGAGGAAAAGCCAATACAAAAATAGAAAATTCCCAAATGATGGTGCCATGAGGAGGGGGGTATGGACTTCTGGAGAATTCCAGAGGCCAATTTGGGAACACAGGAAGGCCATATATGGCCCTGGTACCTAAAGTTCCCCCTGATCCATGGGTGCTACACACAAGCTTCTCACAGTCAATTAATTACAGAATTGACTTCCCCACTGGACAATCAATCTTTCTTGTACACAATTAATAAGTTCTGGAGTGGCCTGGAATTATTGCAGCAATGAAGACACTTTTAATGAGATGCTCAGAGGAGCTTTACAAACAGGTTGTTACTGATTATTTGGTTTCATTTGGTATTACCGGTAACCCTTTACTGTGATGCCAACTATGACAAATCACAGAATCTGTTCTCTTTATTCGGTAGGTCTATATATCTTTGTGGGACTCCTGAAGTTGGGGTCAGTTATCCAAATCAGGATCTGGCACATGTTTGTGGCTTGTATGGGAAAGGCAATATGGAACAGATTCAGTGATGTCACCATGGTGTTTCTGCTATTTCTTCAGGAAAGGAAATTAAGTTTGGTTTTTAAAAGCTTGTTTTTTTTAATATATGGCACAAAAATGTTGATCAAAAAGACGGGTTACTTACCTGTAACCATGGTTCTTCCAGTGGTCATTCTGTGAATTCACACAATAAGGGGTTAAGTCAGCGCCTGCGCTGGTCTTCTCGGAATGTTCCAGAGCTCTGCAAGAGAAACATTGTCAACATTATCTATACTGCGCATGCTCCGCCCGCCCAATCCTCAGTTCCATTTATCCGCCATATACGTTGTGCAAGTGATCTGCAGATATACAGTGACGGATAGTGGGGAGGACGGGCGGGTTTGTGTGAATTCACAGAATGACCACTGGAAGAACCATGGTTACAGGTAAGTAACCCGTCTTTCTTCTGCGTGGTCTTCTGTGAATGCACACAATAAGGGGTGATTAACAAGCTGGCTTACCGGTTGGTGGGTCGTCACTGGAGGGCAGATGCAAGGACAGCTCTCCCAAATCTTGTCTCCCTTTTCGCTCTCATGTCCAGTCTATAGTGGGAGATGAATGTGGAGACATTTGACCACGTAGCAGTTCTGCATATATCAGGAAGATCAACTCCGCGCAGAAGTGCTGTGGAAGAGGCCACTGCCTTGGTGGAGTGGACACGCAGACCTTCAGGAGGAGACTTGTGTTGTAACTCGTATGCTAAGGATATTGCTGAAACCAGCCAGCGAGAGATAGATGAGGAGGAGGCTGGTAAACCTTTTTTGTGTCCAAAATAGCATAGAAAAAGTTTAGGAGACAATCTGAATTCCTTGGTACGTGCGACGTAAAAGGAGAGTGCCCTCCTTACATCCAGAGAATGGAGCATGCGTTCTGTTTCGTTGGTGGGTTGTGAGAAGAAAGTAGATAGAATCAGTGGTTGATTCAGATGAAACTCTGAGACGACCTTCGGAAGGAAGGACACATCTGTGTGAAGAATGACCTTGTCGTTGAAGAATTGTAGGAAGGGTTGATCTGCTCGCAATGCAGCCAGTTCACTAGCACGACGGGCAGAGGTAATTGCTACAAGAAATAAAACTTTTAGAGACAGTAACTTTAGAGAACATGTAGCTAGAGGTTCAAAGGGAGGACACATGAGTGCCTTGAGAACCAAATTCAAAGACCACTGGGGTATCAATGGTTTGAGGGGTGGCCTAATGTGAGTGAGTCCTTTGAGGAAGGCTTTGACTGTGGGATGAGAGAAAAGACGTGAAGAAGGTGACTCCCTGGGTTGAAAGGATACAATTGCGGCGAGGTAAACCTTTAAGGTGGCAACAGATAGCTTGAGGTCAAACAAGTAACGAAGGAACTGAAGCACTGTAGAAAGTGAAGCCGGAACAGGCGATAAACCTTTGGATTCAGTGAATTTGATGAAGCTCTTCCATTTATAGGCATATAACGTGGAAGTAGACGCCTTTTTGGACTGATCTAGGATTTCCTTGATCTGCGGGATATCCTCCACGCTGTGAGGCGGAGAGTGTGGAGATCGGGATGAAACACTGTTCCCGCATCCTGTGTGATGAGCGCCGGGAAGTTGGGGAGGCGCACTGAGTCCACTGCCATTTCCATCAACGTTGGAAACCAAGGCTGCCGAGGCCAGAAAGGAGTTACAAGTATGGCTTCCGCTGACTGATGATGGAGTTGCACTAAAGTTTTCTGTATTAGTGGGAACGGAGGGAAGGCGTAAAGCAGGCCCTGCTTCCAAGATAGCATGAAGGCATCTCCCAGTGAGTTGCGGCCTAAGCCCGCTCTGGATGCGTAGTGTGGACATTTCGCATTCTGGTGCGTGGCAAAAAGATCTATAAGAGGCTTGCCCCAGCGTCGACAGAGTTGATGGAACAC